CATTGGGCAGCCCTCAGTAACCAGGACTAAGCCCATAGAGTGTAAGGAAGAAAAGCTATTTACATACCACTATGGCTGATGGAAGTCGAAGCTGGAGAGGGACTTTTTACAAGAGCTTGCAGTGACAGGGCAAGGGGAAATGGATTCCAACTACAAGACAGTTGGTTTAGATTAGATATTAGTAAAAAAATATTTACTCGGAGGGGGGTGAGGCATTGGATCAGGTTATGCAGAGAAGTTGTGGATGCCTCATTCCTGGAAGTGCTCAAGGCCAGACTGGATGGAACTCTGATCTAGTGAAAGATGTCCCTGCCTATGGCGGGGTGTTTGGAACTAGGTGATCTTTAAGTCCCTTCCAACCTAAACCATTCTATGATTCTGTTGTAGGAATAATATCTGCCCATTTCTAGAGAGACTGTGAGCAGCCATTTCTGGGTCTTTTAAAAGCATGTTGCAGGGAGGATACAAAAAAGTCCTTCTCCTTTAAATGCATCTGCCTCCTTTCTCCCTCTTCTTAATTCTCCAAGGTCCAGGGACTATTCTCTCCTGGTGTCCCCACTCATTTCAGCAATCTCATGTAAAGGATGAAAAGAGATGGTTTGCTTCTAGGCAGAAGCACAGTTCATGCTGCGTTTCTTCTGCAGGCAAATAAGTCTCTCAGGAGACCATGAGTGAACAGTGTAGCACTATTAGCATCAGTTTTGCTGCATGGTAGAAACCTGTCCTGCACCTCCATGTTGTGATGTCTTGATCCTGCTAACCCACAGCCCACACATTTGCATTTCTCCATAGCTTTGTTGGCTCCCTTCAGGTCCCCCAGGGATGCCAGGTCTTGAACAGCCCACAATAAAAAACATAGCTCATGATGTCCAGCTGACTTTTACTGCCATAAACAGGCTGATATTTGTTTAATTTAGTGAAATAAATGCCTCTCCTAGCAGTTTGGAAAGCAAATTCCTCCTTACCCTCCAGCTGGTATTTGCTTGAGTGAGCCTGCTAAAAAGCTCAGGTTATAATTTAATGCTGCTCTGTTTGTGCAGAACCAACAAGCCTTTCTTAAGGCCTCTTAGGGTTTTTTAAGCCGAGGAACTGCTCTTTTCCTTGATGGAGTTCTCTGGTTCCTTAACAGTACTGCACATAGCACATTTTCAATCAGGGACAGCAAGCAAACAAAAACTTGCAGCAGCACACACTGCTGAGAATAATAACATATTGACATAGGACCTTAATGAACTTTCAGAAGTTCCGTGTGAAACAGGATCACACAGAACCCCTTTTTTATTTTTTACTGTGATGAGTTTTCCCTGCCTGGATTCCAGGTGCCCACCAAAGCTGCTCTGTTATTCACCTCCTCATCTGGACAGAGGAGAGAAAATATAATGAAAAGACAGGTATAGGACAGGGATATAAGGACAAGGAGAGATTATTCACCAGTTACTCTCATGGACAAAAAAGTCATCTATTTGTGGAAATTAGTTAAATTTATTAGTGGTCACATCAGAGTAAGATAATGAGAAAATAAAACAAATCTTAAAACATCTTTCCTCCCACTGCTTCCTTCTTTCTAGGCTCAATTTTACTCACAAATTCTCTGCTTTCTCTGCCTGAGCAGTGGAGAATTGTTCAGTCCCAGAGGCTACAGGGTTCATGCCTTCAGGAACAGACTGCTTCTGCATGGGGTCCTCTCTCCACAGGGCCACAGGTCCTACCAGCCAACTGGCTTCAATGTGGGCTTCCAAGAGGGTCACAGCCTGTGGCAAGCACATTTCTCTCTGTCTCAAGATTTTTCATAGAGGTGCACAGAGAGAAAGAAAGAGAAAACAATTTCTATTTCTGCTTCTTATTTTTCCTATTTGGAATGTGTTTGGAAAATTGTTTACCTGGGGTGATTGCTTGATTGGATTCTGGTAAGGATTGTTTGAGCCTGATGACCAATCAGATCCACCTGTGTCTGGACTCTTGTGAACAGGGTCAGGAGTTGGAAGGTAGTTAGATATGGCAGTTAGAGAAAGTAGGTATGTAGTTTTAGTATCTTCCTTTATATAGTATATTAATGTATTATAGCATAGTTATAATAAAGAAATCATTCAGCCTTCTGGACTAGAGTCAGACATAATCATTTCTTCTCACTGGGTTCGCCTGCATTTACAATAACAGCCTCCTTTGAGCACCCACCTGCTTTGGCATGGGGTCCTGAGTGGGCTGCAGGTGATTATTTGCTTCTCTGCGGATCTCTATGGGCTGCAGAGGGACAGATGCCTCACCAAAGTCTTTGACACGGGCTGCAGGGGAACCTCAGCCCCAGTGCCTGGAACACTTCCTCCTGGTTCTCACTCCTGTATCTGACTGCACATGCATCTGTATGCTTTCTTTCCCTTCCTTCAATACGTTAACCCGATGGCATTACCGCTGTCGCTTGGCCAGCGTCGGGTTCACCTTGGAGCTGTCTGGCGTTGACACCGTTGGACATAGTGGAGGCTTCTGGCAGCTTCCCAGGGAAGCCACCCTGTAGTTCCCGGGTACAAAACCTTGCCATGCAAACCTAATACATTTACTGACAATGAACTGCTTCTGAACCTCCTAGGATGTTGCTCTGTTCTTTTCCATGGGTCTTCTCTATAATCCTGAGGTGAGGTGAAAAATTCGGACTTTACTATAAGCAGGCATCAACATACCTCTATTGATATGCCTGCTGAATGATTCCAGAGAGACTATTTATTATTCCAGTGCTTTTGAGCACAGTAATGATCTTGCCATTCTTTTCCGCTATGCCCAAGTATCAAGACAAGTTGTGGAGATTCAAGGTCAGTATAGGTGATGGTTAAATGAGTGGAAACTTCCAAAGAGGATAAGACCTAAAATTCCAGATTTTTTAATCTATTCCCAACTACCACTGCAAGCTCAATTTATAGAAACACACATGCTTTGGAATGTAGTATGTATTTTCTTCTTTCAAAATTTTTATTTGTCCACTAATTTATTATTTTCCATGAATTCAGGTCAGCCCTAAACTGCATTAATCATTTGCTTTCCAAGAAAAATCTGTGCTGTGAGGCCAAGATCTATTCCTCTGCTTATAGTTGCCCTAATCCTGTGTATAGTCCCCACTCTTTTCCTGTTCTTGTCTCTCCATTTCCCCTACCCTTCAGCAGCTCTTAGGGCTTGACAGATCACATGCCTAAGTCAAAGAGATTTAATCTATATGACTGCTCTCATTCATAGTTCTCAGCTCATGTTAGTGAAGGAATGTACATACAGGAGTGAAAAATTAGTTGAAAGGGAATGATTTGTATGCATGGTCTCAAAATCAGTAAGGTGATGGCTTTGACTAGGAACAACCAGTGTTTGTGGTTTCTACTGTGCCAGCTACCTGACAGAATCCGGAGGCAGGTGCAGTCCTCGCCTAGAGTGTATAAACTGAAAGGGTACACACAAACCAGAAAATTATTATTTCCTTTTACCCTCGTTCATAGAATTTTCACACTACAAACCAAAAGATGGGAGGACACAAAACACTATGACTTTACTTGAGAGTGAAGAAATCACTCAGCCCTTTCATTTTAACCATTTTTCACTTAGGAAGTTTGAGTGCACATATGAAGCAGAATAAATAGTTATGCAAGGAATTGTGTTGTTTATGTGTGAAATGCTATACTCTAAATTAAAATTACTTCATTCTGAAGAACTCTGGAAATGAGTACAGCCTGCTGGGCACCCTAGTTGTTGAATGAAAACATTCCAGAAGACCACCACAACTTTGGCCAATATTTAACAAGTCACTGTGCCTACAGAATATAACTCTGTTATATATTCTAGAGAGCTCACTAGCGCCATATCTGAGAGTAAATCATGCTTTGATTATTCTGTCTTATAGTCCACTGCAGAACAAGGAACATGCTTTCCCAGGAGCTCTTATCAGTATTCTTGGAATTCTTGACTGAGATCATTGAAAGCCTAATAGGAGAACAAAAAGCTACAAATTATTTCCACAGTAGGTAAAAGTTAAGACAGAAAGTGGTAAAATAAAGAGAAATCTCTCTATTATATAGAGCTGTCTCAGAGTCACTTCTTCCTTTGGAAATCATGATCTACACAGTTTCATAAATTGATTAAAAGGTTTTGACCATTAAAGTTAATTGATACTTAATTTAAAGGCATGAACTTAAATAATTTTTCTATTTTCTCTGACAATTAATTTTTGGCATTGCATTTGTCTCTAACACTGAATGAAGCAAAAAATCACAAGTACTGAAGGAGCAAGATTAACATGTACAAAAGATGAAGCACAGTGGAAGCGACATCTGGAGCAATGCAAAAGATGTTTCAAGGAGTGTAAACAGGCATAAGTAAAAAAAGAAAATAAAACCTGACTTTTAAGTAAAATTAACAACAACTTGGATTTATATAGTGCTCCATATGTTCTGGCTGAATAACACCCAAGGCGTTTTAGAGTGAAGTAAGGTAAAAAGCATGCTTGAGGCGAGAAAGTAAGAAAATAATAAAATTTCTTGCAAATGTTTTCAGCTCTGAGTAGGTGCAATTCTTCCCTTTAGATGGCTGTGGTAATGGTGCCGAGGTGCTGTTGTTTTGCATAATTGGCTTTGGATAGGAGCCATACTGCAGTGAAAGAGCAAAGACTGCTTGTAGTTGAAATGCTCATTTTATTTATTCTTATTTTTTTAAATTTAGTGCTGCAGCAGAATTCTGATTGCTTAGAAAAATCTAGCTAGAAAAAGGGAAAACATACAGCTGTTTGGAAGTGTCATTGAGCTGTTTACAAAAGAAAATAGGCCTTGGATGGGAGAGAAAGCAGAAACTGCAGAATATGGATGGCTTTCCCCCCTATTTTAGTGGGATTTTACCACACCTTCTATTCACACAGGGGTCGATTAAGAAAATGCTTCTTGATGATTGTGCCTAGGTGGATTTCTCCAGCTCTGAGTATAGTGAAAATTACAGCTACATTGTTGTAATATCTACAATAACAAAAGACAGCAACAAAAATAAATCTGGCACAACACAAACTGCTGTTTAACACTCTTGAGCATGAAACATGCACACAAGTGATGCATGTTTTATCATTTTACAGAATGAAGATTTGCACAAGTATGATACAAAATGTAGTCTTTCCTTTAATAGTGTTCACCAAGCACAGACCACCACATCAGCCAAAGCTCACTGTCAGAGATGCACATTTGCTACCCCTATCCCATTTCTTCAGAAGAAAAATACCATGCTTGAATCACTCTTCCACCTTCACATTACATTTTTCACAGGAGAAAAAGCTCAGCAAGTAAGTAATTTGTTTAGGCCATCACTGGAAAGCTGCAGGTGGGTACATATTTTGGATATGGATATTTTCCTAATCAGAAATTCTCGTACTGTCTCTGCTATGAAATTTCCCCATGTTTCCCCATGACATAAACATGCCCAAACACTGGGACACTAGTCCTGGAGGCCTATATGGCTGGAACATAGGTTTCAGAATAAAATTAAGATTTTTCAGACTTTTGTGGAATTCCCAGAACAATGAAACAGGCAACAATTTTACTTGTTGGCTACATGCCAACAGTTAAAGTTTTACAGCTTATTAAAGCAGTCATAAATTCAAGTGATCATCACTTGAATTTATCAGCTGTATTGTCCTGAAGGTCCAAGTCAGATTTCAGGTCTTTCTCAGATTTTTTTTTTTGTAGCTAGCCAGAAGATATAGATCATATTTCAAAGAGACAAAGATTTATGCTTGAAATAAGTTATCAAATTACTTCTGTCTCGGAAGAGAGCATTGATAACCAGTATTCAGACTGTACAGCTGGCTCAAGGGTCCTTCTTGATTTGGAGGAAGGAAACTCGCCAACTTTTGAAATTAATATATTATTATTACTGGTATCTTCTTTTTAAATCCTTCACTATAAACCAGAAGGGTGTACACATGCTACCAAAAGTTTGTTAGAAAAAATTCTTGGATAAATTTTTCAAAACTGCTTGAAAGGATTTCCTGCTGACTTCAGTCCTGTAAATCCACCCTTTGCTGCACCCTCAGCTGATAAAGGAGAGGTTACTTGTCAACATTGGTTTTGCTTTATGGTCAGCCTTAGGGCCAGAGCTTCCTTTTTAGCAATGACCCAGTCTGCTGATTGTGCCTTTATGTAAGAATTAGAGCAAAGGCAAGAAGTTCTATCCACAGCCCCTTGTATAACAGAGATCTGCAGATTGTCACAATCCTCAAGGTTCATCTGATGGGCTGAGATGTGCACCATAATCCAGCTCCTAATGTCAAGAAAAAATGCACCACAGTAAGTACCCATCACATGAAATAGGCAGCAAATATGATTGAACTGTGTTTTAATTTCTCATACAAAATAATACACAGATGAATAATAATAATAATAATCCAGATTAGGCCAGGAAGCAGTGATTTTGTGTTTATGTTTATTTAGTATGTGAAGCAGATATAAGGTCAGTGAGAGGTAAATTTTTGGGATGAACTTGAAGACTTCTAATTGCCTATTTTACCTCTCCAAGGTATTTCTGTTGAGTCTTATATGCTAAATATTTCCATTAACATTTCTAGAAATTACTGCCAAATTATGAGTTCTGATCAAGATGCAAATGGAGCAAAAAAGATTGTTCCTCCGGGCCATGAAGAGTTAAGAGAAAGACAGTCTTGGAAAAACCACCACAGATGAGCAGAGCATGTAAGAAATGGTAACTCAGATTTATGTCACAATCTTATTTGTGATTCAGTAATTAGATGCTAGGAAGCACATGAGAATCTTATCCTACTCCCCATCAACTTCTCTGAGCAGCATATCAGACTCCTAAGGCAGTTTATGATGTTCTGCTGTAAAATGGAATTGGGCTCTCCTAATTCTGGCAAAGAACCAACAACAAGGGCACATTAGTTACAGAGTAAAATGTGATACTAAAAAAAATTAGTAAAATTAGTAAAAATTTTACTAAAAAATTAGGAACCAAAATTGCCACAAAGCAGCAAAACTGCAATTTCCAATAAGCCATAGGCTTCAAATCAAATGCCACAACACCTTCTCTGGAACATAAACCCCTGCTCCTTAAGCCAGCTGGAAGAGAAGCAGAACTGTGGTGTTGCACAGAGCCAGTAACTGTCAAAAAGGTAACTTCCATAATGCAAAAGGAACTACCATACACACCACCCTATAAAAATGAACATTTTGAAAGCCATGTTTTGTCCTAAGGGCATTCAGTACTGTATATATCCCTTCTACTATCTATCTCTCTTTTTTTTTTGGCTCAGGGGCTGCAGTCAGCTTTCTCTTTGTTGTTTTCCTGTGTGGTAAGCAAGGATAAAACACATCCTCCTTTACAAAGAGAAATTTTTTTTCTTTCTTCTACACACACTGTGACACTGACCATCCACTTTCACCTGCAATGCAAACCCAAAACAGCAGAAATATCGTTGTCCTGGTCTCCACTCCCTCCATCAGTTTTTCCTATTGCAGTTACCTAAGCTGTGAGAGAAGTTGTGGAAAAAGGGAAATGGTTTATGCTCTTTGGCTTCTTCTGTTCTAGCCAGCAACACACTGGCAGTAATCTTTTCACCTATGGAGATAAAGACAGATAATTAAGATAAACTAGACCTGCTGTTGTGCTCCCTGCTGGGAAGTATTAAGATGGAAGACATGCTGGCCTCTTTCAAAAGATTTTTGAGGTACAGATCAGCTTTACCCTTTGGAGATGGAACAGAGGTTTTTGATGTGTTTTACTTTATTATTATTTAATAATATAACAAAATTATTTTAGGTTTTTGGGATTTTTTGTTTATTTGGGGTTTTTTTAGTTTTGCTCAGGGCTCAGTGATTGCACCTAGAGTTGAACTTAAAGCTTTATATTTGTGTGCTGAAAAAAGGGATCAGGGAAGGGCTACTTTAGCATCTATGGAAGGAACAAAACTAATATTATGTTAAATGCATTAGGAAAGTTAGGTAGCTTAAAACTTCCTTCTGCTTTCCAAATTTGCTTCTTGTGAGATGTGATAATGCAGGGTTTTTAAATATTTAACAATTTGCATTTATCTAAAAAAAGAGGGAAATCATGTACGAAGAAAAACACAAACATGTTCAGAATGCCTACCGCCAACAGCATCTTGGCATTTGCCAGTACTTAAAGGTTATGTCTGTCATGTTTAGATGTGGCATAAAGTCTTTCACCCCTTCCCAAATAATTGGACATCATACTGATAGGTAAAACTGAATGTATTATGAACTACTCTTCTATAGACTTGCAGGGCTTATTGACAGAGAGTGCTTGGAGAGAAGGCCTAATTTTATGCATGAACATGTCATGCTGGAATAATTATGCAACTGCCTGCTTTCCTTGTGCAGTACATTGTGAAACCCCAGGATGGTTCCTGGGAATTCATACCTTCTTCTGGTTTTGCATAAACACAACTGCTGTAGCTAACAAGGGGAAATACATTAATAAGGTATTTAATCATGAATAAAGATCTGAATAATTTGTCTTGCTTTCAAAGTGTATGAAAGTGACATTAACCTACATACCTTTTGTAAAGAGCAGCAAATGCAAAACTGGCTCTCATTGGGGAATCCATGCTCATTGATTTTCTTCTCCTACTTTGTTGTCTGAGTGATGTGTGCAAAAACTAAATAGTGTTTCACCTCTGGTAAGCCTAACTTGTGGTTTTTTGGAAATTTTTTGGGTTTTGGTATTTGGCTTATGATAGATTTAATCAGTATGAAGTATCCCTTCTTAGTCTAAAATACGAAATCCTTGTGGATCATTGCTGAAAATTATTGACAGCTACTGATAACCTTGCTCTCACATGAACAAATTAACTGAAAAATTATGATTTAGGGAGGAAAATGTTGGAATAGGGAGGACATCTCTTGAGCTGAAAAAAGGTGGGTGCTGGGAGGGTGGTATTAGGGGGATGAATTAGTATCCTTATGCTTTCTCTGTTGCTATTCTCTTTAGGCATCTGGTCACTGTCACAGTTGTATCTATTTTGTTGTTTTCTTCTTAAACTGGTACACAATGTTCATGCCTGTATTTCACATTTGGAAATACATATTTAAAACAGCAATAAAAAGTATCTTTGAAGAATTTATCATCTCTAAAAAATGACAGCAGTATTGCTACTGCTTTCTTTCAAAATACAAATGTGACTGCCATATTGCTGCTTCTGTTTGTGTGGTGAGAAAAGTTAAATTTTTGTGAGTCGCATGAATGATAGTCTCCCTCTTTTGATTTCTTTATCATTTAGGATTCTTAGGCTGGCAAACCTCTTGAAGAAAGATGCCATGAGTGCACAGCTGTCTCGTGACATTCAGTTTAGGACAGAGCTAAAATGGTTTCTGCGTCAGTTAAAACAGAGAGGAAGCCCTTGCTGAGTGTGTGGGTCAAATGAGGTCTGCAACCCATTCTGTGGGGCACAGCCTGTGGCTGCCCTGGCCACCCTGCTGTTGGCTGTCTCTGTACCTCTCTATGGAGGGGCAAGTCTCTATTGTTAATTGTTAGCTGTCATGTGTTATCAATTGCTTGCTTCAGAAATATGTAGTACAGTGAACCCCTTGGCTCTTCACTTGGGAGGAACAAATGTGTTTCCTAATCAGGATTTATTAGTGTTAAATTCCCTCCTTTTGCCCTCTTCAAAAGTAGATTTGTTAAATTTGGGATCATAGAGAGATTGCCTTTTCTCAGCAAGCTTGCTGCTGCTTTTGACCAGGCTTTCTGCTGGTGCATTTATCCCTCCTCCCTAAGTGGCATGCTAGGCTGGCCACTTCATTCTTCCCTGCTGTTGAGGAGGCGGCATGTTCTTATGCTCCTTCTGTGTGATTGCTTTGCTGCATGTTCTGTGTCCATGATAGTTCCAGCATTTTCCTGGAGTCCTTTCTCCCAGCCATGCCAAATCTAGGTCTGGCAGTGAACTGCACTGGAAGGATCTTCAGATTGGAACACAAAGGTTGTTCTTATGTCTCTGTGACATAGCATACATCAAAAACTGCATAGCTCCTGCAGTGTTTTCATGCTGCAGGCAGAATGCTTAAAGCTCAGCTTTTCTTCTGCTGTCAATCTGATTCAGCTGGCCTTCTTTCCTTCCCTTCTCTGGTACACTCCTTTGGGTCCTCTCCAGCGTGGCTGGCACCAGCAGGGGCACTGCCAGAATACAACTTCTACTGTACCCAGAGTGAAGCAAAACCATGTCCCCTGTACAGCTGCAGCTCACCCTGTAAACGTCGATTACTGCTGGCAGACAAGCAGAGACGGCCATGAATGCTCATGATGGGTACCTGCTTATAGTTATCTACTGCTAAACTGCCCAAGCAGCTCTGTGAGTATAGGTTGGGATCCCCCTTATCTCTGTATGTCCTGGTTCTGATCACATTCAACTTGCCCTTAGCCTCAACTTCCTTGTTTTCAAAGTTTGCATTTAGTCATCCTGGGCTCCAGGGGTGGGAGAGGGTTGGCATAGCTCTAACTCCTGCTGCGATGGTGCCTTGGCTCCAATGAATTTCACCCCAGAGGGGAGGAGTTCCTTCAGAAGCCAACCTGGAGCTGCACTTCCCAACTATGGCCCAGTGTTTAAAACCATGTAATTTCCAGTCCAGTCAGACTCAAGATGCATTGATGATGACAGGAGTGAGCCTGATCTTTCACAGTTTCCAACCAACAAGTGGCATGTAAGTCTTTAAACTGGACCCCTAAAATAACAAGATTGTTTATTTAGGGTAATAAATTGACCCTCCTTTCAAGTAGCCTGCCATGTGAGGCATTCCTAGTAGTGCAAGCTAAACAGCGTAATGCTTGTTCCTTCCTTTTCCCATTAATTTTGAAGCACTGTCCCCTTGTCATGCATTCATTTTTTCCATTTTCTTTTCCTATTTGCATTTACTCAGCAGCAGCCATATCAGATCAAATGGAGCATATCCATTTTTGACATTAGTTTAAAAAATGCTGTTAGTTGATGACTATTAATCCTGCACAAATGCTTGCATAAGAAGATAAGTTTTCTCAAAGTTGTTTGCTCAGGGATAGAGGCAGTTCTAATGGTCTGTTTATTGAATAGTGATTTCAATAGGGCTGGTGATATTATATTAGTAGGTTTGATCTCTGCCAGCACCTGGATCCCTCCTTGCAATTAGCGAAGTGATACAGTGTCTGCCATTCTGCTGCACACCCCCTCCTCTTTTACCACTTCCAAACAAAAGGATGAGTATGGCAAATCTCACCCTTAAAGCAGTAAAAAGAAATAATGTTTCTCAGTACCTGCTTCTGGATTTAAAGGGAAGGACAGATTACTCAAAGAGAATGCAAGAACATTTTCCTTACATCAACAAATAATTCATGATGTGTATATGGGTATCCAGCAACTATATTATTGCAGTAGTCTGACAAATATTGTGAAGGGGGCAGTAAATGGGACATATCATTCTACTGTCTTGACAAACATTATAACAGAAATGGGAAATGGGACAAATGTAACTCATCTTGGAGACAGTCCCTGTGCTGTAATCTCATTTGTTCTTTAGCATGAATTATACAGCAGTTCAGAGGATGAGAAGGTGATTTTCCCCATTTGTATATTTTAATCACTTTTCTTTGCTACTAAACAAATAACTCACTGTGAAATGCTAATAGATGGGTAATATTAGTTTTTGAGCTATGTACTAAATGAGGAGAACGCAGCTGTAATATAAGAGTTCTGCCAG